CGTATAATACGCTCAAAAAAAATATTACCCGTTAACGTACACGTATTCAAGTAAAACACACGGCCGTGTCCCCGACACAGCCACACTCCACTTTTTTTCTTTATCGGCCGTCTCATTGTTTTTAAAAATAATTTCATATTTTCCGTTTCTGAAAATCAAAATACTTAGCTTACTAGTTTGTATATTAATTAATTACTTTAAACATATTTCTATAACTTCCGCACTGTGACACAAAGAGTGCTTTTTTAGCAAGAAATTATGGATTCGGCCATGCCATAATGTGCCTGTCGGGGCTAACTACCCCTGAGTAACTCGTGAGATATAGAAAAGTTTTGAGTTGACATCACGAGTGATGTCGTGAGCATGCGCAATTATCCGGCGCCATCTTTGTGGTTTGTTTACGTTTTCTTTGTGTTTACGCGCGCTTGAGTTAGAGTTCTTGTGTTGTTTATTCGTCGCGAATATCACTATGGTAAATTGTTGTGTAATGCTAGTTCACTCAAGAACAAAGGAACGTCATTTTTTTAAATTCCCGGCATTATTTGTCATCAAAGACTCCAAACTGAGGAGCTTTCATCACGAAAGTAATATGCATGGCTCTGATGAAATTACCAGAAAAATTTCAGTACGAATAAAGCGAATATCAGTACAAGAGTTTGTTAGCAACATTTTATTTCAGGTTAGCAATACCAATTTAAATAATTTTAACAACCGTAGATTTTACGTTGAATAGATAATAATTGTGTTTTCACTTTAATTTGCTCCTTTTTTGTTTGTTTTCTTAATCTCTTAATCACAGTTTGTTTTCTTAGTCTCTGCTTGTAATAAACATACAAACATACAGTAAAGTTAATATTAAAGTGTGCTAAGCAAAGTTAATCGCTTAGCAGATGAAGAATTAGAAATAAATTTTGAACCAATTGCTCTTCCATTCTAATTTGCATAAGTAAAATCGTGTGTATTTTTTAGGATATAAACCAATAATTTCCTTTATTCATTTACAAATAGTTAAGTTATGTTATTTTGGTGAGCAACACTAACATTTCTTTAAGATTTTACTTTTTACGATGATTTTTTTACATTAGTAACAAATAATCATTACATAGTAACCTTCAAGTTGTTCCTGACAAATTCTTATTTATTTTTTATATATATAAATGACTAAAAACTGCTGATATCATACAATATTTGTTTATTACTATCTAAATCAATTTTAAGTCAAATGTTCATAAGTATGCAATATGAGATATTCAGGCCTATAACTCAGGCTGGGTACCAACATTATACATGGAGGTATGAATGGGTACAACCCAACTGCATATCACGAGCGTTATGAAAGCACGTAACCAGGAGAAATGCAGCTACTTGTAAGATAGTTATGGGCCTCTAAAGATTTGTAAGCTTTCATTTGTGAAAGAGTGTAGTAATTTGTCGTCAAAATCAAATAGTTTATGATACCATCAAATTCTACTTTAGGCCACAACTCTTGATCTACAACGAAGATGCTGGCTTCGTAGGGATGACACCCTGACATAATGAAACTTTCTCTTCCTATAAAGCAGCGTCTTGTCCTGTCAGAATGCGAGAATAACCCGCGAGAAAAGCATCATTTTTACCTTTGTCTATGATATAAAAATACTGCAGTTCTATTAAGTTTAAATTGAAAAAAAGCGCTATTAACCTGTCAAATAACAAGCTAGGCAAGCGAAAACTAGACCACAAACATGGCGAAGGACGGAACAAATGTACGTTTTATCACTTGGCATGCGATCTTGAAACCTTTCTATTTAACCCGTCTAGATTCGATCCCGGATTTGAATTCCAAGATTTTAAGAATTTGATAAAATTAGTCCATTGCTTTTCGAGAAGTACAGCTTCTGTAGAAGATTATTTTTTTCTGTGGTCAAAAGAAGTGGAAATTAAATAGTGAAGTCATTAAAGGAATGCGAATTATAAAGCAAAACTGGGACCTACAATACAATAACTTTTACGATAAAATTTCCAGTTAATTGGTTTAGTAATTAACTTAAATAAAATAAGTTAATGATGGAATAATGATAAGTTAATGTGTAATAATAGAAAGAGTTGGGCATGTTCTAAATTTTAAAAAATTTGTTTGTTAATTGGCTAAAAATTGTTGATAGTTTAAGTAGGCGTATTTATCAGAGATGCCATCACATTTTCTTAACATTTAATTACTAATAAAAATTGAATGTTATTGATAATATTGAATTGACTAAAAACAAAAGCATTAGAGTATGATTTGAAATAAATGTCCGGTACATACCTGTATCTGCTTTTTACAAAAGGTGTATATATTTATATAACGAGTTATATCATATCTATTTTTATAAGGTAGAAATTATCTCATGTATATACAGAAAAAAATTGATTGATTAGTGAATGCGTGTCACCAGTAGATTTAGGCCCTGTGGCAGATATATATTATAGTGTAATTGAGTTCGTCACGGGCTGGACTATTGGGGTTGGCGACATGAAGGAACAGCATCCCACTTTTTTTGACTTTATCCATTCTTTGGGCACTGACAGTTGGGTTCGACAAGACTCACAATGGGCAACTGGATAGTGAGGAATGTCACCTGACAAAAAATTCTTAGGGTTTTTCGCAACTGGGCTTACGCTCTACTATCTTGGTCATCCAACTTTTGTTTTTTTTCGGCACAATTATAAAATGCGATCATAAAATTGAAAATTTAATTATATAGATAGATTAATAAGACGAAAAACTTCGAAAAAAAGCATTATTTCTTTGGTTTTCTTTGCAATATTCATGCAATTTTCCTCTATAAGTTTAATCAACATTTATTTTTAAATTGTGTTGTGTTTGTTTACATTTCTATATCTGTGTTTCTATTGATTATTACTCCATAAATAATATACTCTATTTGTTTATATCACATTATTTTTTATATATATAAATGACTAAAAAATGCTGATATCATACAATATTTGTTTATTACTATCTAAATCAATTTTAAGTCAAATGTTCATAAGTATGCAATATGAGATATTCAGGCCTATAACTAGATGATGCTAACAGAACCATTTGGCTCTGGCTAAGAACACCGAAAGGCTTCAAAATTAAATTGTTTTGGTAAAAAAATCTTATAGAAAAAAATTGTAGAAATTAAAGTATTTTTAGAAATGGTAAAAATTTTATTCTTATTTATTTTTCATACATTTTTATGACTTTCGTGAAGGGATAAGTTGATACATTTAAGACAGATGCCAAGTCTATCTCACCTCTCTCAAACTACGAAGATAATAAATCGTTAAAGCTTCAATTTTTAAAACTTTAAAGTAGAATTTAAGTAGAAAATATTCTTTTAAATTTTATTAAACTCAAATAATTTGTTATTTAATGCTTTATATAATAGATAAATACAAATATTCAACTGAAACTAAATATAAATATATCAATCTGGCATATAAACTGTGAGTTAATTGAACTTAGATCAAAGTAAAAAATTTTATCTTAACTGCCTCTTTAACCTCTATTACATTTGATAAGTATAATTATAGATTAAAAGTTTGATTCATTTAATACTCGTTTTATTTGTAGATGATAAAAAAGATGAATACGCTTTGGGAATCCGGGATTAGAGTTCGAATTATTCAGAAATTTTCATCATATTTAGCATCATATTTTATTTACTTCAGTCATATAATAAAAGCTCTTACAGCTCGTAGGATAGATATAATTAAATTTAAGATAATGTTATAAATATTTCTATTTAAATTTATAATTAATGTAAGATATTTTATTTTTAACAGGCAAAAGACATATATCTTCAGATTATATTTAGAAAAGATAATATTAAAAGCCTAATATCTGACAATAATAAAGATAAAACTGTCTGGTGATATCTTATTTGGTTCATCGCTTTGTGTAAAGTATATTTTTAGGTCTATGATATCATTTCTGGGGTTAGTAAATATGAAAAATGAATGTAAGTACTGTATATATATATATTTTAATTTTATTATTTATTGTTATAAAAAAAGCGACAAACAGAAGGCAATAAGCATTGTGAGTTTTAAAATATTAAGATATTAATATTTTTATCTTAAAATTTCTCAGAAGTCGATTCTAAATAGAAAAACTCGACTGGCTTATCAAAGACACATTGAAATTTGCCGAAGTCATGTTGTCCTGTCTTCATGCCAAGTCTTCGTGTTTACTTTACACACAATAATCTTCGTGTTAAATCAAAATTAAACAAAACATGTTACTTTTTTTCTACCTAACACTCTCCACTCTATGAACATAAAAAGGTGTTTTTCGTGTCCATCATTAATTAGCACCCAGACCTACAATATGGGCTAAACTCATGCTTGTCCGTATTTTAGACCCGGGTGCATATCTGTCAAGTGTGTGTCTTTACTGTGATAAGGATACATGGAAGAATCGAATTACTTATATAAGTTTTTGAATTTTTAATCTATATTCGAACTCGAATCCTTTCCAGAGAGTATAAGTAACTAAGTTGTGAATAAATTACGGTTTTAAATATATTAATTACTAGAATTTTTTCTTCTTTTTTATATAAATTTAACGTGTAAAATAGCTGCAAAGAAGCCAAATGACACTATGATAAATGACATACGCTTCAGTGTGTTTTGCCAAAACGCACAAGCGTCATTTGGTTTCTCAGCAGCTATTAGTCGATTTGTAATTTTAGAAATATCTTTATAAATTTAAAAATTTGTAAACATATAAATATCTTTAAAAATAATATTCTTGCAATTATATATTATATAAAATATTATCACAAATAAATTGGAATTGGGCTAATTTTTGGATATATTAAATTGCTTTGCCAAATTACACAAGATAATTTTCTTAGGGAAAAAATTTTTTTTTTAAACTAAAATAAACTTTTAAAATATAATGAATATATTTTTATATTATTTCAATTTTGTGAATTTAAAGCATCGTTATAACTTTTTTAATATGATTAATGATATAATTTTAAGTACGAAACTAATTTACTCAAATCATAATTGAAAGCTACCGTAACAACGTTAAAAGTTCGTCTGTTTTGAACAACTTTTAGGAACGAATTAAATTCAAAACCCGAGTTTTGGCTGTATTGAAACTGTAAGTATCGATATATTTGTTTAATTTTTATTGATTATAAAAGAAAATAAAATATTTTAAATCTAAATTAGCGTTGATGCGAGTGGATTGGATCAATTGGATGGGATTAAGTATGGACGCTCTCAGGACATTTGCCTATATTCGCGTGTTAGACACGTAATAAAGTCCCGGAAAACTCCACGTGGCTAGGTCAGGTGCGAATCCGTAACTAACCAATGGATAGTTAAGTGGAACGTAAGTTGTTTTCATTATAATGTATTCAATTGTATATACATACATACATACATACATACATATATATTCGTATTATGATCATATGTTCGAGTCTACAATGAGCGTGGTACCACTAAAGTTTGGGTCTCGGACACAGAAGGCCCCAGAAATTTAGAGTAAAATACTATACGAAAGTCTGATCATTTGCATTGTTGATTTTACTCTCATTGCGGCTTTCGGAAAGGGGTGAGATTTTACATTTAGGATTGACTCTGGTTCTATCTCATTTCCACTGGTTCAGTCGCGGGTTCAGTGGCCAGCGCGCGGTATGACATGAAGTTTCTTCGGTTTTATTCACCTATCTAACAATAAAACAGGAACCTGTTTCTCATAGAAAGTCCCCCCGATAGGCATTCTTCCTTAGCAGGTTGTTCTTGAGTTGTGTTAAGGGTGCGACTATGCAGACACGAGCGAGCGAATTTTCCGAGAGAGCGAGAATATGTGGCGAGAAGAGGCGAGACGCGATAAATATCAAAACCTGTCAGATATGTGCGAGAACAAGAAATTCGCTCTCGCTAGCGTTATTTCTCGCTTCTCGTTTGTGCATGGTTTTCCTTTGCGAAAACTAAATCGCTCGCAACCTCTCGCTCGCTCTAAATTCGCGTCTGCATAGTCGCACCCTTACCTTATTCAATCAATTTTACAATCTTCTCTCAGATCAAAACAGCTAACCATTGTATTATAATCCTTCACTGAATTATTTCCTTTTGAGAAAAAATATTTTTATATCTTGTTTTATTATTAGAAGAGGTGTATGTTGACAGATAAGTAAGTAAAAACAAAATTTAATGTTTTATAAAATTTCTTTACGATGTGACTTACTAGGCTCCAGAGTTTAATGGGACTTTTTTGTAAAATTCCCATTAAACATTAGAAAAATAATTCCTTGGTGGAAGCTCAGGTTACTGGGGTAACGTTTGCAGTTTTTTTTGTGCGAATTTTTAAACAAAATTTTCATGTTAGATTTTGATGATTTTGATGTCACTATGTTCAGTATAACCTTGTGCTTTGCATAAATTACTTTTCGGAAAATATAATTAATTCTGAGATAAGATATATGCAAAAAACGAAAGTGTCGACTTTCGCCACTTTGACGCTTAATAGCGAGGTTGAGGCCGAAGTTTTAAACGCGAAAACGTGTACGTCGGACGTTTAGCGCCGTTTTCCTGTAAGCATAGAAGTTTGACAATGGTGTTTAGAATATCGAGCATGATTCCACTGACATTCCAAACACTATCAAACTTCTATGCTTACAGGAATGCGGCGCTGAACGTCTGACGTACACGTTTTCATGTTTAAAACTTCGGCCTCAACCTGGCTAATAACAATAACGTATTTTTACATTTTTGGGCGGTGTTTTCTGAAATATAAAACCAGACGGTTGTTTGATATTTTCCCAGAGTTTGGTGAATTTCGGTTGAACTACGGAAAAGTTATCCAAGTTCTAAAAAAAGGGAACTAGATTTACGTTTCTCATCCCCGCTAAATGGTGCCAAGTTTCCTAGCTCCTCAATAGCATTGCTCTAATAATGGGAAGCTTCTGGAACAATGCGGACTTTGTCATTTTTTTAAGGTGTAAACTTTTTGATTTTATTTTTGTACTAAAATACAATCAATTCCATTTAATTGGGCCATTGGTTAATCGGGGCAGCCGCTTTATTGGGCTAAATCTCAAAGAACTGAAAACCGAACGAATAAATTAATACATACTTTAAACGCTTGATTGGGACAGTAGCAGAAAAGGAATTTAGCAATTTTTGATATATTTTAGGGAACTTCCTAAAATATGTCAACTCTACATACAGTACAGTAATGTCATGTAGGCCTAATGGTTGGCGGAGACAAAGCAGTTTAGTCTTTCGCTCGGGCGGTTCGGTTTTCCCGGAGGGGGTCAGCATCGCGGGACGTATCGCAGCAGGATTCTACTCTTTAAGCGCAATTAACGAAAATAATGTTTCAGACGCAGTTCCCTCAGTCTAGACTGGACAAAATCTCAAATGCGGCTGCATTTAACGAACGACTCCAATTTCTGCAAGACTCTTCTCGCTTAAATGCCAACTGATTTTATTTTATTATTCTTTTATTTCTTATTTTTCAGTTTAGTTTACTTTATATGCTTTAGCTTCATTTAATTTCGTTATTACACTTTTCTTTTCATCTGTACTTTTCGTCGTATTTTTTTTTCTTTTCTCAACAATAAATCACTTATAACCTTTATTTGTGACATATTACTGCTCAAACTGCTCCCCCAGGCTAATTACATTGATAAACATCGTCTCGAGTTTCTCGATGTAACCTATCTAGTATATTTTTATATTATATAATGAATTTATATTACAGAAATTAACAGATGAAATGTATAATTATTTTTATAAAACAATAAATACATAATAGTGATATTTTTAAAAATAATGAAATGCAAAACTAAATTGCAGTACATGTTTTATGTTTTATAATCTATGAATGGTGAAAATGAAAACAGCAATTCTTTATATTTACACAAAATACACATTTTTTCTAAGTTTTATCTTGAATGTGGTTTCCATTCCGTGTTATTCCTGGAACAATATTCACATCGACCCCTATTGGAAAAAATTCGGGTTAATGTCCTCTTCCATTTTCTAATGTAATATCATTGCTTAAAGTATTAATTTTTTCTTTTCATTAACAGACTGCTTTTGATTTAACAAGTTTTGTTTTGGTATTTTTCTATTCAGAAATGCTTTTCTCCCTGTTATCAACAAAAACCCTGAATTGCTTGTATTTTGAATTTCAAAAATGGAATTTTTTCATTAACATCAGTGAAAATTATGTAATTCTATAACCGCAAAACGCAGTCTATGCGGGTTTTCTTTGATTCCCTATTCTAATCATATAATTATCTGAACATATTTGCTTTGTCTCCCATATGAGTGTTGTAATGTCTGATAGCCAATGGTATTGGTGCATCTAGTTTTGTTCTATCCATCTGAGTGCATTCTACATTTACAACTTTTGTTCCATGATATCTTTACAATACAATAGATGAACACTTCGATTGTCTTTTCCTTTGAAATATTTGATATCCTTATCAGATGTTCTGAAATCCTTTTTACGTCTTTGTCATCTGCTAATTTCGGAAATCCTGCTAGATTTCAATGCATGGTTATACATGCATACACATCCTGTGATTTCAATTATTCCAACAATACTAGAGATGTAAAATAATTATCCATTATATGAAATTTTCATGATAAAGCTTAGTTTGGTGTTCAATCATTACCAAACTAAGCCAATTAAAATTGTAAACAATACAAGATTATCAATAAAAGAAAGGTCTCGTAAAATGTTGATTTATCGCATAATTAAATCCAAATATTGAGTTTTAAAATGTTCCACGACACCCATCGCTATTTCATTTCTTTACTTTCTGAATATTTAGGCAAGTTTCTAGGATTATGTTACAATTTGCTTTATAAATTTAATAATATTAGACAATGATTGCTTGTTTACAGAATTATTAAAACGTGTTTTATGTTTATATTTTTTATTAACATTTTAAACGATGTAAAAAGTAACCTTAATTTGCACATAATCTCTTTCGGTAGGTCATGATCCATACCTCAGTTTTATCAAGCGAAATAATTTCATATTTTTCAAAGGAGAAAATATTAATTTAAATATTTTAATGATTTTATATTTACATGTTTGATGGTTTATATTGATGTTTACATTTTTTCTAATTTTATTTCTGTTTTGAAATTAAACTCGGACGATTTCATAATGTAAAAGTAATAGTAAACAGGAAAATCTTTATATAAACAATGAAAGATTATTTTACAAATGTAATTATCTTGGATAAATTTTGATTGATAAATTGTTTATAACGATCTGATATGCAGATTACTGTTCCTAGGATGATAATTGTGCAATTATTTGTTTGCTGTTCTTCTGATAATGACAATTACAATTACTCATTGGTATTTTCATGCCTGTATTACAAATATTTTTGCTTTAATTATTACTTTTTATGTTTTAGAATTTGATAATAGATTTGTAATGAAAACAGTACAATTAGATCTGCGTAGATAGATATCAATATATTATTAATAAAATAATAACACTTGCAGTATAGTTATACTCGTATATCCTGTGCAATTTCAATTATTGCACTTGTTTTAATTGTTCGTAATTTGACACGTTTATCTGTGCATAATCTAAAATCGCACTGCCACATGCCAGTAGGTATCGAATAAAGCGAAATTCCATCTTCCACCTCACCATTTACAATTAATAGAAATACGTTAGAATGCGTTTAAAATATTTTACCTATGTTTTTACAGTTTAAAATGAATTTCATTTTAAAGAATAGTCAGCGTGTATCAGAGAAGTAGCTAAGTTTTGGTATGAGGAGGAGCAAAAAGTTAACATAGAAACATAAGAAATACTTTTCATAATAAATACAAAGAAGAAAATTGTCTCGAGGTTATTCTGTCCGTCTATAGGAAAAGTGCACTGACACGTAATATAGGAAATACTGTATTGGCAAGCGCAAAATCCGACAGAGGGCGCTGTGTTTGAGCCAAGATGGCTGCAGAAACAGGCAAGGAGCCGACCACGTGTTTGTTCAGTGCCTGAGCCGATTCAGTTTCTATCGGTGACGACTACTGCGAGGACCAAATGAAGAACAAATCATTGAATTTATGTCAAATTCTAGACTATATCGGCGACAGGAAACGTTGTCTTGTAGAAGGTGAAGCCGTTTTGGATATATGTGATGTACACACACATACAAAACATAATGTGTGCTACAAACTTTTGACTGGACTATATTGTATAAGTGCTGAATGACTCAGCAGGCAGCCTTCAGATTGGCAGTAATTTTAACTATTATGATAAATAAAACTTTGTTTTTATATTGGAACATGGTGTATACTGCTTAAAATATTTAAATAATTCTCACCTGTTAATGTGTAATAAAC